TTCATTCGCCTGAAATTTGTTTCCCATCCTCTTACTTTGAGTCTGTGTATGTCCTTTCTAGTGAGATGGGTCTCTTGAAGGCAGTATATTGTTGCCTGGTGATATTTTATCCATTTTGTCATTCTATGTCTTTTCAGTGGTGCGTTTAGTCCATTCACATTCAGACTAATTATTGAAATGTGAGAATTCGTCCCTATCATGGTGTTCTTATTGAGTTGTTCTTCCACTTGGTTTTTTCTTTTTTTGTCTTTCTTTTGGTTTTGGGGTTGGTTTGTGTATATTTTATTCTTTTCCCTGTACTCTTGTGAAGAACGTTGTTCTTTTTTCCTTTTCTTCTGTGTTTAGTACTTTCTTAAGTGTTTCATGTAGAGATCATTTGGTGACAGCATAGGTTCTTAGGGATTGGATATCTGGGAAAGTTTTTAATTCTCCCTTACTGATGGAGCTTAGCTTGGCCGGGAAGGTTATTCTTGGTTGAAATTGTTTATCTTTTTTCTTTTTTTTTGAGTTGGAGTCTCACTCTGTCGCCCAGATTGGAGTGCAGTGGCCGCTCCCAGCCACCGCAGCCTCGACCTGCTGGGCTCTGGTGATCCTTCCGCCTCAGCCTTCCGAGTAGCCGGAATTACAGGCATGCGCTACCACGCCCGGCTGATTTTTTGATTTATTGTAGAGATGAGGTCTTGCTGCCCAGGCGGGTCTCGAACCCATGGGCTCAGGCAATTCGCTCACCTCAGCCTCCCAAAGGCACGGGATTACAGGCTGAGCCACTGAGCCTGGCTGAAATTGTTTATCTTTTAGGACTTTGAAGATAGGACTCCAAGCTCTCCTAGCCTGCAGGGTTTCTGCAGATAAATCTGCGGCTATTCTGATTGGTCTTCCATGGTAGGTGATCTGGCCTTTTTCTCTTGCTGCCTTTAGGATTTTTTCTTTTGTGCCTACTTTATTTAGGCAAATTATTATGTGTCTAGGAGTTGGTTTTCTCATTTGTTGTCTTGCAGGTGTTCTCTGAATCTCTTGTGTTTGAATTTTTGCATCACTGTTTAGATAAGGGAAAGTTTTCTTGAATGATCTCATGGAAAGTTTGTTCCAATGGGGTCTCTGTTTCTCTTTCTGCCTCAGGAGTCCGATTACTCTTAGTTAGGCCTCTTGAGGTAGTCACTCATCTCTTG